TACAGAGCAGTGACCACCGGTGAAGTCTTGAATCGACTCTCCGAGAAAAGCGTAGGTCAGAGTCTGCAGACTGGAGCGAAAGTGGCGGTTGCCGCTGAGGTTGTATAACACGCTTGTGTCCATTGTATATGGATGATAAAGTTTTAAAGCGGTCAGGTCGAAGTTCAGTGAATGACCCACTAGAATTGCGTCACTGGGAAGCAAGTGCTCGATGGCACGTTGAACCTCTTCTAGCGTTGTCTCGACGTCGGCCATCATATCGGCGGTAATACCGCTGTAGTTGGACACGTAATCGATGACAGGCCTCGAGGGTTTGACCAGCGAATCCAACACCACGCGGTAATGCTCATCGACGATGGACACACGAGTCACCTCCTGAAAGCCACCTCTGGTAATACACATCTCGCAGTCGACGGCAAACAGGGGGCTGGTGTCGACAACACAGCCGTACTCACGTCTGCTGAACCTAAAGGTGTCGATAGACGAGGAGGAAGAACAGCACAAAGAAGAGGACGACGACGACGACGATGGCGAAGAAGTCGATACAGAGGAGGGAACAAAGCGAGAGCGCCATGGGTCAATATGTGACGGCAGCGGATAGCCATCCTGCAGCATTTCTTCGACACTCAGCAGGAAGTCACTGCGAGGAAAGCCGTACGACGAGGACGTTTCGTAGCATTGTTGTTGTTTGTCGGCCGTGTTTTTAGTGCATTCCAATAAAAGGCGCTCGAACGTTACCGGAACAGTGAACAACCTCGACCATAGAGGGTCATCTCCGTTGCGATCGCGGACCGTCAAGTCTATGTCAACGGTGATGTCAAACAGACGAAAGCCGCTGCCGAGCAAAAACTGCCACTGATAGTCCTCAAACTGAGACCGGCACTGGTCGATGACCACCGCCAGATTTACCTGTGAAACTTGGCGCCACTGCCGCACCCAGCACCACCGCGGTCGTGGACTGACATGCGGGCCGAACAGTGTGTGCAGCAGGAAGTTTTGTACATCGGTCAGTGACAGCGATGGAGACAGGCTCTGCTGTGCATCGACGCAGATGTGCGGGCCGGACATCGAGCGTTTCGATGGACGAACGGCAGTTAAGACATCGGGATTCGATCCGCTGACCACCGCCGTACCGTTCATTGTTGCTAATCCGTGATTTAAAGCAGAACAACACACACCTTAAAACAACAGAAATAAAAGCTGTAACATTTGCTGTGCATAACCAAGATCACAAACGAATCGTACATATTTCTATAACCATATATAAACCACACAACAGTAGAAAATAAACACTTAGGCTAAAAATCAAGCTTAAGGTGAAGATTAAGTTTAATAAAAAATTCACCGAGGATCCTCTCATCCGGATTTAGAGGCCCACATTCGAACTGCTGTCCCGATTTTCGATGACCTAACGAAGCTTTAAACAGAACACGATTTTCTGGTAAAACAGCTCATTTAGGGCATGTTTATGAAACCAATTCATCGGTTTGGGCTGAACAGCACTATCGAAGCTACAGCAGACCAATCAGCAATACGCATAAAACGATGAATTTTCTGATCGCGATGCATATCTGACGAACTTTGAGCAGATAAAAGTTCTAAGATAGACAGCAATTAAATCTCGTTATTAAATTTATCACTGTACCGTTATAATCTGGATATACGCATCTCATGAAGTACCATTTTTTCCGGTCCAGATGGATATCGATTATTCCCACGTCCTTACAATCAAAAAACTAAATCTGGTCCAAGCCGCTGAAAGGTGACTGTGAGAGGCCTCTTTGTCACTCCATCAGGAAAACAGAAACATTAGTAAAGAACTGGAAGAAACCGATATCCAAAAACGTTCATCCATGAACAGTTTTAACAAAGCATACTGGAAATGAAACATAATCCATAAGCAGAAAGAACGACAACAACCAGAAAACACTTCCTAAATAGCTCTCTACTAGTCATTCCGCAACACAAGAACCTAAGTGAAAGAATGTAAAAACCTAAGCGTCAGACATCATTAAACTAGATACTAAGTCGTTGACCCAGATGACGATGAAAACAACAAAAGTGAAAGAAACAGATATTTCATGATTAGAGTCGGAATTATTCGGAAGGCTACCAGATCCCCTAACTTTATTTACAACCTCCCGTACAAGAAAGGCGCCATACAAGAGCAAACAATAGGATGCGGGGACAGTTACATGATTAAAGTGTCAATAAATATATACTACTTGAACTTGTATCTTTCGCTAAAAACTCATCACCATATTTTTGCATCTCTGCCTCAATGGCTAAAGCATTCAAATGTGTCAAAAAAAAGCCGCCACCTGCGCACCAAAATAGATTTCGTCATCCAATAAAATGGGAGGATCAACTAATCCAACTTTGATCCGATCTACAGGTGGCTTGCCACCTTCAGGCGTAATATGATTTCGGATTCCTGTCATTGTTGCAATCGTAATCTGAGGCATGAGGCTAAAAGACCGAGTACCCGGATAAACGATGTCTAACGCTTTGAAATCTCAGAATCATTTAGCCCATATTGGTTGCCGCGGCTATGGGCATATATTTCCTCGTCGAAAACAGGTGCGTCTGTGGTCATTTTTTGCTTCATAAAGGAGATAGGTATCCAATGTCTCTAGGGATGGTTTGCTGTCTGCGCTGCCGAAGTGTCCATCTTTTAATTACTCTTTAAAATAACTGACGTTTCAATGCTGTACATTAGGACTGAGATGACTGCCGGTTTTAACCTGGTTTCCTTTGCTGCTGTCTGAGCAGAGTGATCTTCCCATATTTTAGAAACCCCCCGAAGTTCACAGATGCCAGTCCTAAATGCCGATTTACTTTTACGTCGCAGCTTCCATTTCTTGCTACCATAGAGCCGAGAACCTAAGGTGTCCATTTCCAACAGTGGTTACGCACTCTCTGGATCTGAGCTGAACCACTCCATTAATTAAACAAAAACATCTATTCAAATATACGCGGTCATAGAGTCATTGAAACGGCTCTACTTTAAAATGTAACAAAGCGGTTTTCGCGACAAAAATATGACAAACCTACACATACGGGCATAAGCCTGCATTACGAGTAAGTCCATTAATTTGACAATTAGAATTATGAAGGACCAGAAAAAGACTCTGAACGAAATCTGTCAAGTACATGTATCAGAACTGCTTCATTTTTAACATAAATATACGTTTCGAACAAATATTCAGTTGAAGCACTTCATCTATCGTCAGTAATAGAGCTATAATCTGTAGGTACAATTGAACTATTAAGCAATTTACTAATCCGTACTATACTCCGTTTAACGTAAGTCAAATAATCTATCAGTCAATTAAAATGACTCAGCACATACGTTAGCGGAATAGAGCGTAAAACTAGCGCCGAAAATGTTTTAAAAATTTTAGCCATGAGCTTATATTCCGGCTGCTTCGCTAATGATTCAGTCAATTTCGTCTGATGAACATTGGGTTTGTAACGAAAAGTCAGGCAGCTATGTCGCTTTGAAATGTTCGAGTTGCAGTTGGCGAAATCTCCAACAGTCCACTGTAGAGAACTTCATTCGTGCTTCAG